TTTAGCCTAGGAGTTTGAGACCAGCCTCGGCAATATGGCAAAAACCCTGTCTCTACTAAAAATATAAAGTTAGCCAGCTGTGGTGGTATATGCCTGTGGTCGCAGCTACTCGGGAGGCTAAGGTAGGATATCACCTGAGCCAGGAGGTTGAGATTGTAGTGAGCCGTGATTTTGTCACTATGCTCCAGCCTGGCTGACAGCAATACCCTTTCTAAAAAAAAAAAAAAAAAAAAAAAATCCTGATATTTAATTAGATGTGATGGTTAAGAGATGGAAAATTAAAAATGACTTATGGTGAAAACTGGGTGAATATGATGCCTTACTTTGAAGTAGAAAATGGGAGAGGTTTTTTGGGGTGGGGATTGATAAGTTCATTTTTTCGAAAAGTTCCATTGAAGGTGCTTGGGAGGCATATATGTAGACATGCCAGCTGTGGTATGTTTACTCCCTCAGGAAAGAGATCTAGGCAGAAGTATGGATCTGGGAATCATCAGCAAGCCTTGTGTAATTAAAGCCATGGGAGAAATGAAGTGAGATTGCCTGGGAAGTGCCCATAAAATGAGATATTTAATGGGCACTGGCTCTTAACTCTGGTAGAGGTTCTAGCTCAAAACCCAGACCTACCTACCCAGAACTGCCTACCAGTTCAGCAGATAATTGAACCCTGATTGTCTACCTCCAAAGCTCTTTCTGTGAGACCACAAGTTGCCTCTATAAAAGTTTTTGAACTCTTGTGTGAGTCAATAAAATTAAATTCAGCAAGAAGGATGATACTCTGTGTCAGGCACTGAATATATCTCAGTGAGAAAACAGACATGGCCACTGTCCTCACAGTTACAGCCTAGTGAAGGAGAGGGATAATTCCAATACAGATAGGTAAGAGCCATGATAGCTACAGAGTACCTCTGCCCAGGAGCACATAACTCAGACTTGCGGTGGGGTGGAGGAAGGTCTTTTTTTTTTTTTTTTTTTTGAGACGGAGTTTCACTCTTGTTACCCAGGCTGGAGTGCAATGGCGCGATCTCGGCTCACCGCAACCTCTGCCTCCTGGGTTCAGGCAATTCTTCTGCCTCGGCCTCCTGAGTAGCTGGGATTACAGGCACGTGCCACCATGCCCAGCTAATTTTTTGTATCTTTAGTAGAAACGGGGTTTCACCATGTTGACCAGGATGGTCTCGATCTCTTGACCTCGTGATCCACCCGCCTCAGCCTCCCAAAGTGCTGGGATTACAGGCTTGAGCCACCGCACCCGGCCTTTTTTTTTTTTTTTTGAGACAGGGTCTCACTGTGTTGCCCAGGCTAGTCTCACATAAAGTGCTGGACTCAACCAATCCTCCTGCCTCCCTAGTAGCTGGGATTATAAGCACGTGGCACTGCACTTAGCCGCAGGGGAAGGCTTTCAGAAGGAAACAAGTTAGCTAGGCAAAAGGTAATGTCAGAAGGTTCCAGACAGGCAGAAGAATAAATTTTTTCTTTTTCTTTTTTTTTTTTGAGACGGAGTTTCGCTCTTGTTACCCAGGCTGGAGTGCAATGGCGCGATCTCGGCTCACTGCAACCTCCGCCTCCTGGGTTCAGGCAATTCTCCTGCCTCAGCCTCCTGAGTAGCTGGGATTACAGGCACACGCCACCATGCCTAGCTAATTTTTTGTATTTTTAGTAGAGACGGGGTTTCACCATGTTGACCAGGATGGTCTCGATCTCTTGACCTCGTGATCCACCCGCCTCGGCCTCCCAAAGTGCTGGGATTACAGGCTTGAGCCACTGCGCCTGGCCAAATTTTTTCTTTTACTTGAAGTCCCATGGAAGGAAAATAAGAGAAGGGACAGTACATTTTAGTAATGTCTGTGCTTAGCCCATGAACATGCCAGTCTACATTAGATAACAAAAGTATTTGGGTTTCCCTTCAGGTGAGACAGTTCCAGCTCACTGCTGCATCCTGTCAGCTTGTAGCCCCTTCTTCACAGAGCGCCTGAAGCGGGAGAGGCCAGCTCAGGATCAGAAGGTGGTGCTGGAGCTGGGTGGCCTGAAGATCAGGACACTTAGGAAGCTGGTGGACTTCCTGTATACCTCAAAAATGGAAGTATCTCAAGAAGAAGCCCAGGATGTGCTATCTGCTGCCCGTCAGCTCCGTGTGTCTGAGCTGGAATCCCTTCAGCTAGAGGGTGGAAAGTTAGTGAAGGCCCCACAGGGCCGAAGACTCAACCGAGAGTGCTTACAACCAACAAGTGCTGCACCCATCTCAGCCAGAGTGGTGACACCCAGCCACCACCCTCACACCGCACTGCCTGCTACACAGACTCTTTGTCCTCTTGGGGCAGTAAGATTGAAGTCTTTGGGGAAGGAAGAGGAGCCCCAGGAAAACAACCGACAGAATTCAGACAATTTGTCTGGCACTCTTCTGCTTAAGAGGAAGGCCAAAGCCTGCCCAACTCCACAAGACAAAAGCTCTTCACCATCAAGCCACAGTCAAGGGCCTAGAGAGCGCAAAAATGACACTGCCCTTAATCCTACAGTGCTCTCACCATCCAGCCTGTACCCCTCTGTGGACAAACACCTGTTGCCCAGAAAGATCAGGCTAAGTCGCTCAAAGCCATCGCCTGATATCTGTACATCAAAGCCTTCCAGCATTTTAAGTGGATCTAGCTCAGTGCCTGCAACCCCTGGCCGGCGTCTTTGGCGGCAGAGGAGTATAAGTAAAGAAGCACCAGAGAACAAGCCAAAACCAGGCAGAGCTAGTCCTCTGAAGAGCATCCCAAGCCCATCCGGTCTTGGAAAGACAGGTGGGAGCAAGAAGCGTAGCCCTGATACGAGGGCACCTAATTCAGAGTCTGCAGAGGAAGGGCAGGTTGGGAGAGTTAAACTTAGGAAGATTGTCAATGGAACTTGCTGGGAAGTGGTGCAAGAGCCTCCCCTCAAAAACTCCCAAAATAGTCCCCAGATCCCAGATCCCGGAGGAGACCTCCAAGAGCCTTCAGGAACTCAGCCATCCTCTGGTAATGAAAAGGAAATGTCATCTACTAGAACAGAACTGTGTCAGGACTCCCCCGTATGCTCTAGGATACAAGACATTCTGGTCTCTGCTAGTGAGTCCCCAGACCACCCAGTGGTGAAGTCAGAGTTTGGGTCCAGTCCAGAACTGGTAAAGGAACCTATGTTGGCTATTGACTGCAGAGAGCCCTACGCATTTGACACAGGCCTGTTGGAGCAGCCCTGTGAAGCTGAGGAGTACCGAATCACAAGTGCTGCTGCCACCAGTGAGCTGGAGGAGATCCTGGACTTCATGCTCTGTGACTCAGACATTGAACCACCTGGAGGGTCTCTGGAGAGTCCCAGGGCTGAGGGCTGCAGAACCCCTACCTACCATCTGACAGAAACAGGAAAGAACTGGATTGAAGGGGAAGAATGGTGTTTACCAGACATGGAACTCTGGTCCAAGGAGCTCACAGAATTGGAAAAGGAACCTACTGGTGAGAACAAAGAGCCAACTGCGCTCCTTAGCCCCCTTGTCATGCCCTCTGAGGTGAGTGGAGAGGTGCTTTCAGTAGGAGGCCCTTGGACACCAGACCTTGAAATTACTAGCTCCCAGCCACTGGATGGTCAGGAAGACAAACTTAACCATGTCAGCTCCCTTGACCCTCCCCAGAGGTCTTATGGGGACCTCTCACCTCCCTGCTCAAACTGGGTGGAGACTGGACTGGAAGTCTCCCTGACTACAGATGAGTTATTGTACCCTTCTCCCAAGGCAGGCAAAAAGGTATCCGGTCACTCTAAACTACTAGGCTCACTTCCTGCCAGCTCTGAAGAGGAAGAGATTGATGTGGTGGACTGGACAGCAGAGGGGAAGCTGGTATCCACTAGTGTTTCCTCTGTATGGCCTGACCCCTCCTCAGAGTCAGAAACAGAGGTAGATATACTAACATAGTGGAGGGGGGAGGGGGCAGGTTAGGGGCCTTGGGAGGGTGGGAAGGGTTAGCTAGCAAAACACTGACTGGCAGAGAAGCTGGCACATGCCTTGTCCTCTTGGCATAAGAGGCAGATGTATCCCTGGCTCTTCATAGGTCCCTTCCTCCCCTCCCTAAGCCTGGTGAGCCAGGGAGAATCCAAGGGTACAGTAGATAGAAAACTATGAATTTGAACCTTCTTATTTCTTTGTAATCTGTTTTCCAGTTAGTGACAACTGAAACTGCTCCCCAATTCCAGTAGGTCATAGGTAAGAGCCAAGGCCAGGTCTCTCAGGTCATAAGACATCTAGTCAATTTAGGAAAAGCTGAGTAAGAACACCCTCTGTGGTGGGGTACTGTGTAAGAAAATGTTCCAGAGGAAGGTGTGAAGCAGTGTTGGGTGGAATACTAAGTGGGTGGGAGTGATGGATACTGTCCAGCACCTAACATGGGGTTTATTCACTGCCAGTATTGAGAAGTCTAGCTAAAACCTCTGCAGGGGCCAAGAAGATGTACTGATATACTTCATCATTACTTCCAAAAAAGTAAGTTGAAAAAAACATAGTTGCTTTTTAAAAAAATAAATTGCTTCCATAATTTTTACAAGTATTTCTCATGTTTTACTAGAGACCCTAAAATTTCCATATCAGGCCAGGTGCGGTGGCTCATGCATGTAACCCCAGCACTTTGGGAGGTCAAGGCAAGTGTATCACTTGAGGTCAGTTTAGACCAGTCTGGCCAACATGGTGAAACTCCACCTCTACTAAAAATACAAAAAATATTAGTCAGGTATGGTGGTGTGCACCTATAATCCCAGCTACTCAGGAGACTGAGGCAGGAGAATCGCTTAAATGTGGGAGGCAGAGGTTTCAGTGAGCCAAGAGTGCACCATTACTCTCCAGCCTGGGTGACGAAGAGAGACCCTGGCTCTTAACAAAATTTTTTTTAAAAAAGTTCCCAGTCACATGGCTATTCCGGGCTGTGAAAAACACAAGGACTACCAACACCACAAGGCTGGCTTTGTCCATCCCTTAACATAAGATTAAATTTTACTCTATTACTCAAATACTTTATTTCAACTTTTATTCAATCAAATCCAGTAACTTTAGCAATGCCTTACTAGAGGGTTGTCTCACAACTGAACCTTCATTTCTGGCGGGGAAGAAACCATGGCTTCAGGCACATGACTGACGTTTGGCCATGTTCCATCATTAATGTTCCAACATCACCAGGGACACAAAGCTGCAAAAATGAGAAGGGAAATAAGGTTAGAGAAAGGATCCAGGCAATCTTATGTTCCCTAACCCTTAAACTCACAAACCCTGGAGCTCAAGAACTGCATCCTTCCTCCCAATCTCACTCAACAAGTGCGGAACAACATGCCAAAGCACTGAATGAAGCGCTAGAACAAAGACAAGGTCAAAATACTTGTAACCTAATGTGATGGAATTGTAGTGCAGTGTTAACACATGGGGCAGTAACAGAACACCCTAGCAGGAAACAGAGTGGAGGGATAAACATAAATGAAGTAACATGAATAAAACTCCAAATGGAAAACTTGTCCAGATCCCCCAGGCAACAGTCAACTCCATCTTCCAAAGGACATTACATTGCACTTAGGGCACACTAGATAGAAAACAGTATTTGCCGGTCACAGTGGTTCGCGCCTGTAATCCCAGCACTTTGGGGGGCCGAGGTGGACGGATCATGAGGTCAGGAGTTCCAGACCAGCCTGACCAACGTGAAACCCCCTCTCTACTAAAATACAAAACTTCAACGAGTGTGGTGGTGCACGCCTGTAATCTCAGCTACTCAGGAGGCTGAGGCAGGAGAATCGCTTGAACACGGGATGCAGAGTTTGTGGTGAGCCAAGTTCACACCACTGCACTCCAGCCTGGGCGACAGAGCGAGACTACTCCGTCTCAAAAAAAATACATATTTTGTCAAATAGACAGGGTCTCCCTATGTTGGTCATCCACTCCCGCATCGACCTTCCTTAGTGGTGGGATTGCAGGCAAGAGCTACCCACGCCAGGTGGGTACCTGTAGCCACACCAAGATTAATCCCTTCCTCAACAACGGTCGCCCCGCCCCTTTCCCATTTCAAACCTCAGCATGAGGACTTCTACCCAAATCTCACTACGACAGGTACTTCTTCAACTCTTCCACCACCTCTTGAGGCTCAGGGAATTTGAGTTTGCGCGGGGGCCCCTTCTTAATCCCAGTCCAGAGCTCCGCACCTGCGAAAGGACAGCAGGAATCTAAATCCTATTACTTCGGAATCCACGAGCACGTCTCTGAAGTCAAGAGATTGCCGCGGTTTCAGAGAATAGCGCTTCCTCTCTTCGGAACCCACGCCCCTCTCCCCACCCCCGGGTCCCCACTCACTGCTGCCGTCCGGGCGCAGCAGCGTCACCTCGAAGCTGCCCCTCCGGGGCTTGGCTGGGTTCACCTTTACTGGAAGTTCTGGGGCCTCCAGGCGCAGCGCCTGGCTCAGGGCCGCGGCGTTTCGCCCATAAACGCGTCAGCTAGTGCTAGGGAGAGACTGGGAGGTTAGAAACCGCACCTGGCCCGCGGCGCTGCCGTCCCCGTCCCCTCTCCCCGCTTACTCTCCAGGCCCCTCACCAATGCTCAATAACAATGGTCGCCTCCTCCACTCCTTCCCCGCCGTTCGCCAGCTTCTCTCGCTTCTCGGTCGTGGCGACCACCGCGGCCTCAGCCTTCCGCTTCCTCCCGCGGGAAGCCATGGCGCCTAGGGCCGGGCTGAGAACGCAGCGGACCTGGGGGGTAGGGGGCGGAGACGCGACCACTGAGCGGAAACCAGGCAGTGAAGGACCGGCTCCGCGGCCGCCCGGAAGCTCCGCTCCTACAGCGGAAACCTCTCCCCAAGGAGCGGAAAGCGTGGCCCGCAGCGCCCACGTGGCCTGGGGGCGGACCTTAGGGCACAACCACTTTGCACTCAGGGAACGGGGAGGTACGGGAAGCGCCTGACGGAACCACCCATCACTTCGGGTCGAGGGGGCAGGGGATGCTGGGATGGTGAACACAGCAGGAAGGGTCGGAGACTAGGTAGGTCCGACCGCAAGCTTTGCTTCACGCAATCTTTTCTCTACCTTTGCGTTCCGATAAATGGTGTGTGCCACGATCCACCGCCAAAGTCTCCTCCCTGGCATCCGCGGACCAATCCCAAACTAAACCCCCACCTAACAATGTGTGGCCCCTATTCAAGGCTTATGGAAACTAGCCTTCTCCAACTCTTGCCAATCCTGGGGATCAATGATGCGCATTTGGTGAAACCAAATAGGATGGCCTTTGACGTTAAGATGGGCAGAGTTCCTCAGAAGTTGCCAGGCTTTTCGAATACAGAAACACACAAAAGCCCAATCAAAAGGAAATCCCAATCTTTTTATTACGGAAAACCATCAACTGGGTGTGGGGAATTGGTCAGAGTGGTTAAAGTCCAGTGGATTTCTCCTCCAAGTCCTACCCCACAAAGGAACATCTCAAGCCTCTATTCACCCTTTCTCAATCCCCACAAAATAGGGGGTTGTTCAATATTGTCTTCAATGATTAAAAACTTGTGGTTAAAGGTTTCCCCTTAGGACTAGCGACAAAGTTAGGCTTATACTTTTAATGAAGGCCATAAACAAGCCAGGGTCCTTGAGGGAAAATTCTTAGTTTCTATATCCCAGCATCTTACCTTAGGGTTAAATCTAGGTCTAACTAAGCTGTGCAGGTCAGCTAAGATGGAATAATGAAACCACAGTTTCATGGAGAAACCATGGAGATGTCTGAGTCGTTGGTAAGCAGTTAACACACTGGCCCAGGCTTGGAGGGAAACCATTTCCTCCTCCACCATGAGATCTCTTTCTTGCTCCAGTGAAACAGTTGGCCCACAGCATGGCAGGCTTTCTTGTAGGGTGTCTGACAATTCCCTAGGTGCCTCTTTAAAAATCAGAAGCAGCACCCTGCCCCACCCAGACACAGCCAAACGGAAAACATAAATAAAAGGCTGTAGCCTCAGGCTTCTAGTTATGGAAGGAGCCTGGAATTGACAGGAAGCACTGCCAAGGTAAGGATCTTATTTGTCCTTCTTGCTTTCTCCATCTGACACGATGGTGGGGCTTGGGGCCACAGGCTGCTCCTCGGGGATACTGTCTCCAGTCTTTGATAGCTTCTTGGCCCGCTGGTATAGCTCATTTAAGTTAAATTCTCGGATCACATTCTCCTGCACAAAAGAGATGCACAACATCAGGATCTGGGGTTGGAAGGGAGAGTCAAGAGCGTGGGAAGTTAGAGGTATTTTACACACAGTCTGGGAAAGAAAGGAGTAAGCTAAGGACAAAAATCTGCCCTAATCTTCCTCTTTTTTAGGTACCCAGAAAAGTCAACTAATAGTTAAGTATATGCCAATCACTGTGCCAAGAATTATACCTAAATTATTTGATGTAATCTGCAAAACAATCCTGCAAGCCAGGGGTTATTATTTCCAATTAACTGACGGTGAACCTAACACCTACAGTCAGTATGTGCAGGGGCCTTCGAGACCGAATCTTACCTAAGAATTGTTCCCCAGTACTAGCAGGTCTGGCACATAATATATATTTGCTAAGTGAATTAATATGTCAGGTATAGTAACCAGTCCACACCCTCAAAGCTAATGGGTAAGTGGCAAAGCTGTGAATCAAACCCGAGTAGGGCTTGAAAGCGCATCTACTGCTCTACATCCTTCATGCACCTGCCCTTCTTTTCAGGTACCTCCGAGAAGGTCCATGAGACAGCTCGTCCTTTCTTGTCAATCTGTGGGCGCCGCATTACCTCCTTGCCACCTTGGAACAGGATCAGCGTAGGGAGTTGTTTGGTGAGGGGTGATGTGCTCACTTTGTACCTGCAGGGCCCAGAAAGTTCTTTAAATGCCCCTGTATATATCACTCAAAGTGATTCCCTACTCAGACCCTCTGCCCAGGTCCTTACATACCGTGTACTAACATCAGCATAGCGTCCAACATCCACCTTCCCAAAGTTTAGCCCTGTACAGTTGTACCTGAGAAGATATTATTTAATATATTGAAAAAAAAGAACGGATCAAGGAAAATAGAAGTATAGGTATTTGGGAGGTGAAGAGGAGATGCCTTTGGTTGCCATGTGTAAAAATCAAGGCCAAATGGGAAAAAAAAAAAAAAAATTAAAGCCAAAAGCAGTGAAAGGGAAGGCACAGCATCTCGATTTCCATCATCCCTCCCTTTGCACTACTCACTTGAGGGAGAGGTCAGCGTAGATAGGAGCAAATGATTGGCAGTCATTAGACCAATTGGCAAAGAACTCCACAATCCAAGTGACCCTCTTGTCCCGTTCTAGTTCCTCCTGCCAAATACAGGGAAGAAAAGTAAGCTGGATCACAGAGCCTCCTGGGAAGGTTCACAGCTTAGCATCTGATTCCTCATCCTGCCATTCCCTCTTCCCTGGCTCTCATAATGAACCCCGTGCCCCGACATCCACTTTGAAGCACTGTTGTTCCGCCTACTGGGTAGACAGCACAACTACAAAATCACCCACAAGGGACCCAAGAAACAGAAAGGAAGAAGAACACTCACATCAATGGTTTTATCATTGAAGTACTTGATATTCTCAGGGCCCATATATAGGGGGGGTTTGCATGTCATCAGGAACACTAAACACAGAAAGAAGATGTCAGAGGAAACATAAAAGGCCTGACACAGGGAATTTACTTCCAGACCAACTCAAGGAGTTCAGCCCCCAAAGAATACACACTTGTGGATGTATGTAGACCACCAACACATCCTCTGCCTCCAAAAATACAGTATAAACTGTTAGGATCTGAGCTACATATATAATTAATTAGATACAAGATATGGAAGGAGGGTATGGAGAAACATGTTTGGGATTGCAACTGTTGGGACTGTAGTTTCCACAATCAAGTCTATCAATACAGTCTTACAAGAAACCCAAAGAAAGGCAGTCTTCTCACCTATGCAGAGTGTGATGTAAAGCAGGCCCATGCGAATATCCAAGCGGAAGAAAAGAATTGCGTTGGCCACTTTACTAAACATGAAAATGTTGCCTATATGTTGCTCCACGGTGACTGAAACACAGAGATGCCACAGGTCAGGCTGGGCTGTGCACTCCTATATCCCATTCTTTGTCCCTCTTCTTGGGGCACTTTGAAATGGGAAACGGGAAGGAGCTGGAAGTCCAAGTTCAAATTCAGCCTTGGAATTAAATGTAGGACACATTTACCAAATGACTGCCACCCTCTTAACATGAAGGAAAGCATTAGGTCTAACCTTGAGACTTGAGAATTGGGCTTAACTTACTGGATCTGCGGTTCTTCATCATCACAATGGCACTGAGGAACATCAGGATCTCCACTTCTCTCTGGAACAGAATCAAAGTGTTATAACAGGAATACAGTGAAAAGGGCAAATTTAGGTGGGAAAGGGAACTAAATATGTAATAAAAACCAATAGCAATCCAAACTGAGAATGGTAACAATAAAGAAAGAACTGTAGTTAGGTAAGTTGTACTGGGATAAACATCAGTTAGAAGACCTGGGTTCAGGTTCTACCCCTGCCACAAACTTGCTGACTTGCTGATGCTTTTTTTTTTTTTTTACGGAGTTTCGCTCTTGTTGCCCAGGCTGGAGTGCAGTGGCACAATCTGAGCTCACTGCAACCTCCGCCTCCTGGGTTCAAGTGATTGTCCTGCCTCAGCCTCCTGAGTAGCTGGGATTACAGGCATCTGCCACCACGCCTAGCTAATTTTTTGTAGATTTAGTAGAGATGGGGTTTCACCAGGTTGGCCAGGCTGGTCTCGAACTTCTAACCTCAGGTGATCCACCTGCCTTGGCCTCCAAAAGTGCTGAGATTAAAGGCATAAACCATTATGACTAGCCTGCCGGTGCTTTTCAACAAAGCACTTAATCCCTTAGCTTTGGTTTCTTCAACTGAACAGTATCTATTTCAAAATGCTACTTTGAGGATTAAATAATATATTAAAAAGAGTTAGGCCAGGCATAGTGGCTCACGCCTGTAATCCAAACACTTTGGAGGCCAAGGTGGGCAGATCACCTGAGGTCAGGAGTACAAGACCAGCCTGACCAACATGGTGAAACCTTGTCTTTAAAAAAAAAAAAAAAAAAAAAAAGAGTTGTATAAGGCATGATATGGTGTAAAATCATAAGATTATTATAATCAACTTAGTGTAGAATAAAACTTTTCCAGTAAGTTTTCTTAATAGCCTATTAATATAATATCTGGCTATCCCATGTGTTCAATTTTTTATTTTTATTTTTATTTTTTTTGAGACGGAGTTTTGCTCTTGTTACCCAGGCTGGAGTGCAATGGCGCGATCTCGGCTCACCACAACCTCCGCCTCCTGGGCTCAGGCAATTCTCCTGCCTCAGCCTCCTGAGTAGCTGGGGTTACAGGCACGTGCCACCACGCCCAGCTAATTTTTTTGTATTTTTAGTAGAGACGGGGTTTCACCATGTTGACCAGGATGGTCTCGATCTCTTGACCTTGTGATCCACCCGCCTCGGCCCCCCAAAGTGCTGGGATTACAGGCTTGAGCCACCGCGCCCGGCCTCAATTTTTTATTTTTGAGACAGGGTCTTGCTCTGTCACCCAGGGTGGAGTGCAGTGGTGCGATCTCTGCTCACTGCAACCTCCACCACCTGGGCTCAAGCAAATTCTCCTGACTCAGCCTCTCAAGTAGCAGGGACTACAGGCGCACACTACTGCACCTGGCTAATTTTTATATTTTTTGTAGAGATGGGGTCTCCCCATGTTGCCCAAGCTGGTATGGAACACCTGAGCTCAGATGATCTGCCCACCTCAGCCTCCTAAAGTGCTGGGATTACAAGCATCAGCCAGTGCCCAGCCCTCATGTGTTTGATTCTACTTAATCATTCCTCCCTACCCAATATTCTTCATGATAATCCCATGTACTTTTGATATAATTTGAGAACTGAAAGGGGCTTTCATAGCTCTCAAAAGCCCTTTTCAGTACTCTTGTCTTATAGTTTTCTCATCTTCTAGAACAACCTTCTTGTCCAGCCTGTGGCCCACATGCAACATCAACCAGGATGGCTTTGAATGGGGTCCAACACAAATTCATAAACTTTCTTAAAACATTATGAGATATTTTTGATTTTTTTTTTTTTTAGCTTATCAGCTATCATTAGGGGTTAGTGTATTTTATGTGTGGCCCAAGACAATTCTTAAAAGATTGGACACCCCTGCTCTAGAATGTAAGTACCAGGTGAGCAATCAAGTACCAGGTGAGCAATCAGACACAATAAACATGACAAAGACACTGAGAAGTAATTAAATTCTAAGCCCTCAAGTGACTGAACAGACTCTGTCT